TAACTTGCTTTTGCCATAAGCTAAGTGATAGCATATCGCTTCAAATGCATGCTGTGAGTGAGAAATGTGCATGCATAGTGAAGGGCAGCTGATGTACACTGAATTAAGTCACAGTGTGTAAGGAATGGCACATGCACAATCTGAAAGATAGCAGGGTAAGCACAAAAACACTTGTGCTGAAGCATAGCCTGAAGCATCATGTTTGGCTATGAAATCCAATTGTACTAAGAAGTGAAAAAGCAGATCTTGTTCCAGACAGGAGAGAGTACACATTAAAGATGTAGGTCAGAGGGGGAAGCTGAACAGTAACAGCCCTTAAGGATCCCCACAGTTTCCTTCTTGTTTCTCTACTTGCTCATCTTCCAGTCATCCTTCTTTAGCCTCTATCTAGCCTACTATAGGACACAGTCCTCCAGAGTAAAAAGTTGTTAGCATACATGCTTCTTAGCTCACATGAATACAGAAAACCTTTCTGACCTCTTTGCAAGCAGACGAACTTGGAGTGCTGTTAGGCCAGCTGGCTGAGACCACTTCAAGGTTTGACCCTCATGCCTGTAGGCATGGGCATAACAGCAGCAGGAGGTCCATCAATCCCAGTGCACCTCTGCTGGGCAACTGCAGTATCTGTGCAAGAATGGTACTGTTTGCAGTAAACAGAATTTGTGACTCATTAGTCTCTTCTGTTCTGTTTCAGATCTTCTCAGGCCTCCTAGTAAACCTCCCTTCTGTAATGGGCTGGCTGAACTGGCTCAAGTACTTCAGCATTCCCCGATATGGACTCACTGTGAGTAGCAAGCAGCACTGGTCTCCTGTGACTAATGTAGCCCCACTGCTGCTTCCTTGAGAGGTTTTGAGTATAAATGAAGTTCTTTCAAAAGTCAGATTTGGCATCTTCCCTTGCATGAACATGGTAAAAGAACAACAAATCAGACAACCCCCAGAAGGAAGCAGAAATTAATCTCTGTGTGAGAGGTGGAAGTCTCAGAGACTGAACAAATCTTTTGTGCTGTTTGGACAGCAGCAGAGTGAGCTGTCCAGTGAGGCACTAATTCCTAATCTGAATAGTCGATCCCTATGGTTTTAGAATAAAATTAAATCTTGTATGGCCTCTCCAGGGTCTGCTGTTTGGGTAGCAAGTTTTATATTAATGATTGCCCAACTGGTTAAAGAATTTAGCACAATGCCAGTGTTTTGTGTGGCTCCCTTTGAAGTGAAATATGACTTACTGCCATTTCTAAACAATAAGGAGCTGGGGTAGCAGAAAGCTAAGGGTGCAGCTGCTTGAAACAAAGTAACTCATGACCCCAGGTACAACTACATGTTGGGCAAGGAAGAGATTCAGAGCAACCCTGTGGAGAAGGACTTGGGGGTGGTGGTCAAAGAGAAACTGAACATGATCCGGCTTCATTGTGTGCTTGCAGCCCAGAAAGCCAACCATATCCTGGGCTGCATCAAAAGGAGCATGACCAGCAGGTCGAAGGAGGTGATCCCTGATCTACTCTGCTCCCTGCCCCTCAGTAGACTGACTCAGATGAAAGTGGATAAACTGGAACTCGTTGCTGCCAAGACCAAAACCCATGACTGTATCATTGAAATGTAACTTTGAATCCAAAGACTTATACACCAAACCATCCTGCATGTGAAATTTAGACCAGTTCCTCAGAAAGGCAGTAGTTAAGAGCTTCAAACCAAAAAGGAACATAAACATACAATTCCAAGAATAGTGATAAGTGTCTTCTAATAATCAAGTTAGTTTAAGGTGTTTCAGTTTTAGCTTTCCAAATCACTAACTGTAAAAATGCAATGTCTGCCTCTTTTCCTAGGCTCTTCAAGTGAATGAGTTCAGGAATCTCTACTTCTGTGGGGAGAAGAATCCAAATGTTACAGTGCCTGCAAGCAGTTGTCCCCCTGATATCTCAGGAGAAATGTAAGTCTCTAACTCATGGTGGCCTCAATGGTGATGACTTGCTTAAAGAGAAGTCTGACTGTTCGAAATATTTATATTATTCACAGAATAACCACTCACAGGCCAGTCTCAATAAAAAATCCCAAGATAATGCATTTTAGAATTATGTAGTAAAACTTCATAAATACCCAACAGTGAAGTAAGGATGAAACTTTAGTCCTAAAAGTAGGCAGATGAGCAAAATTAAATTTTGGGGTTTTTAACCTAGCCCTATTTTATCAGTTTTCTTAAACAAATGCAGGGTCACTTAGCAAAGGAAATGCACTGTGTTGACAACTACAAAGTTGTTGGGAAGCAGTAGACCTGTGATCACAAACATGCTTGTAAATATTAACCTCGCTCCAGATAGGAGAATACCAAGGTATCTATCTCCCAGTGCTGCTGCCCCATTTGGAATACTCTTTGACTATTGATACCTTAAGCTGTAGCAATAAAAGTATTTTGTGACCCTAACTATTCTATGGTTCTATGATAGAGAGCTGGCAAACTGAGGTTATTGCAGGGAACAGTGCTGGAGTAGTGTTTCCACAGCTTTTGGACCCCAAACTGATGCTATGGACCTCTACTGTTTGTTCTGTGAAATTAATGCTTTTGTACTTACCATGGTTTAATGTGGTGCTGAGGTTTACTCATAAGTTGCCAGCTATCTATAAACAACAATTAGGATACTAGTGAAAAAAATTATGAGAAAGAGAAAACTAGATTTGTCCCTTAAGCTTATTTTTGTAATGATAGGTTATGAAGTTGAGAGACTTAACATGAGCCAGCAGTGTGCGCTCGCAGCCCAGAAAGCCAACCATATCCTGGGCTGCATCAAAAGGAGCGTGACCAGCAGGTCGAAGGAGGTGATCCTGCCCCTCTACTCTGCTCTTGTGAGACCTCACTTGGAGTATTGTGTGCAGTTCTGGTGTCCTCAAAATAAAAAGGACATGGAACTGTTTGAACAAGTCCAGAGGAGGGCCACGAGGATGATCAGGGGACTGGAGCACCTCCTGTATGAAGACAGGCTGAGAAAGTTGGGGCTGTTCAGCCTGGAGAAGAGAAGGCTGCGTGGAGACCTCATAGCAGCCTTCCAGTATCTGAAGGGGGGCTATAGGGATGCTGGGGAGGGACTCTTCATTAGGGACTGTAGTGATAGAACAAGGGGTAATGGGTTAAAACTTAAACAGGGGAAGTTCAGATTGGACATAAGGAGGAAGTTCTTTACTTAAGGGTGTTGAGGCACTGGAATGGGTTGCCCAAGGAAGTTGTGAATGCTCCATCCCTGGCAGTGTTCAAGGCCAGGTTGAACAGAGCCTTGGGTGACACAGTTTAGAGTGAGGTGTCCCTGCCCATGGCAGTGGGATTGGAACTAGATGATGTTAAGGTCCTTTCCAACCCTAACTATTCTATGATTCTATGAAGTTACTCTATTTCTGTCCTGTTTTGCAGTTGAGGTTAAAGGAATCTTTGTGGGACAGGAATAAAAATAACTACCTGAAGACTTGCACCACATAGTATTACTAACTTGTAGCCCATGCTCTTCTGCAGGTGTTCTGGTGAAGCATACCTGTGCAGCCAAGGAATTGTACCTACCAACTGGGCAATGTGGGAAAACCTAGTGGCTCTCTTCTGTATGACTGTTATCTTCCTTATCATTGCCTATGCAAAACTCCGTTTTATGAGAAAGTTCACATAGACTTCTGTGTTGCCTTGCTTGCAGCTTCTCTTGTCTTAAAACTGCAAAGCTTGTTATAGCCTACTGGAAGTTGCCAAAAGATTTCAACTGACTTTATTGAACTTCAGACAGGAACCCAGTCTTCTTGTTTCTGGAGCATGATCTCCATGTGATTATGTGATTTTGGTTTTTAAAAAGAAATGCATTGATGTACATCACATAAATTACTTTTTGTAAGAGAATACAATTCTTGTAATTCCTTATGTACATATCAAACTGTATATTGTAAAGCATTATTCTTCTGTGGCCAACTTAAATAGGAAATGTTCAAAGGGAAATGTGAGCTTCTTCATCACCATATACAGGTGGTATAAGGTGGTGATGGTGTTTATGCATTGATATGCTGCCCCTTGATAGTGCCCATCACACCTAAGAGCCAGAGACCATTCATAGCATGCTGGAAATGCATTTGAGTTTGAAGTCAATACAGGGAATGAGCACTCCTTGCCAAGCAAAACCAGTTATATTTCTAGTAGCTTCTCACTGGAAGCTACTTGCAGAAACAACTTTTGCTTGGCTAAAAGTTAAACTGCAGTGGTAGACAACATTTTGCCTAAGACGAGTGAGTTTTGTTGTAAACAACAAACCACCCCCCCCCGCCCCCCAACCCAACCCAAACAACCCTCCCTGAAAACCCAACAACAAAAAAATGTACATTTTCTTCTTAAAAGGAGAGAAGGGAATTCACTTCCATTTTTTTTTTCTTCCAATAAAAATTTATATACTTGGCAATGGCACACCGTAATGATTACCGACACTGTGTATATATAGTACTACTTACACCATGCACTGAAAAAGCCCATGTAGATACTGCTGTGGCAATCTACAGCAACACTTACTGCAGTCGCCATGGAATAGATTGTAGCATGCCAGCAGTTGTCTCCTCACCACATTATTAGCATCACGGCCCCTTCTAACCTGCAGTAAGACCCTCAGATGCAAGTGAACCAGTTAAGCCAAAAGAAAACATCCTCAAACACAAGGCTAAAGGGCTTGCTTGTGAGGGCTGCACTAGTGCGCAGCGGTGAAAGTGCTTCTGGTACTCTTGCTATTGCAGTCGTTGTGTTATGAAGAGTGTTATGAAGAGGGAAATGTACTGACAGCACAGCCACGTCGAGCACACGCCATTCTCCTTCTGAGCTGCTTCAACTGCCTTGCGCACCCTCCAAACCGCTCCTGTGCGCGGTACTGAAGGCCACCCCTTACGATGCAGCCAGGAGGTGGGACAGCCAGCCCCAGACCTACGCGCTTACCATCCGCCAAGCACCAGATCCACGCGGCCGTGTACGCAGCGGGCTGGGCGGTGTAGTACCACCCCCGACGGACGGGGCCGAGCATGCGCCGCGGGGCCTGGCGGCGGGCCGCGGTTTGCGTGGGGTCCAAGGCGGAAGCGGGCGCTGCGTGAGGGGGCCTGTCCCCATGGCGACCGCTGCGGAGGGGCTGCCGGAGGCCGGTGCGCAGCCCGCCAAACGTAAGGGGCTGGGGGAGCCGTCTCCGGGTTCCCCCCTCAGCCGCATGGCGGTGGCCGGGCCCTGCCAGGCCGCGGCCCTGGCCCGGTGAAGCAGCAGGCGCCCCGCGGAGGGAAGGGTGGGGACCGGCTGCGGGGCGGGCTCGCTGTTCGCCATTCTCGGCCCTGGAGCCCTGCGGCTGCGTCCCCCCGGGGGCTCACCGCGTGTGTCTGCCGGCGGACGCTGCGGGGCTCGGGGCTGCCGACCAAAGAAGGAGCAACCTGTCGGGTTGAGGAGGAGGTGCTGAGCTGCTCCCCCGAGGAGCAGAGCAGGGGCAGGTTGTGTAGTAATGGGTTTGGAGAAGAAAAGCAGTGATCGTTGCTTTCTGTAGGTGGGGATCTGTTGTAGGTCTTCGTGAAACGGACTGGGGGGTGCTTTATTCTGATTCAGTGACCAGAAAAAAACATCAGTAAGATTGTGCACAAAGTCAGAAGTTATCCGCAAATTCTTTTTCTGTTGTATAAGCACAGGAGAGGGCTGCTGCTTGCAAGTTCGGGTGCCTGTCCCTTAAATGCTTCTCAAAGTATTTTGTTGAAACTATCTTGCTGCTACTTCAGGGAAACTGCCTAGGTTTGTTATCCTTTAGTCTGAAGTACACAACTTACATGGCAAGTAGCTATAGTCAGTTTGAAGGGGAAAAAGTATTTAGGACCATTAGTCTGTATGGTGTGTTTCTGTACCTGCTACCTTTCGCCTAATCTTGCAACGTCTGTACACTGATCAGAAGAGCCTGCTGTTGAAACAGCGGAAGAAGCTAAGGAACCAGCAGAGGCAGACATCAATGAACTCTGTAAAGACATGTTCAACAAAATGGCCACTTACTTAACAGGTGAACTGACAGGTAAGGCACAGCAGTACTGACCTGCAAGTAAGTTTTTGTTTCTTTTCATTTTCTTTTAAAGAGATCTATTGTGTAGTTTGTCTAAAATGTACCTATTTAGATCATAACTTGCAAGACTAGCAGTTTAAGTCTGGCATGTTGATCTTAGCGTTGTCAGTACTGTAGCAGTTATATTAATGAAGTCCCAGAATAGCACAAATATTTTTCAAAAGAATTTAGTAAGATATCGGCAACTTAAAAAAATAGTATCTTTTTAGTCTTGGAGAAGATAGTACATGGAAAACCAACCAAACAAGAGGTCTCGGTTAAGAAGGACTAGGGGAGGAGCAGAACTGAGAGTGGAATGCATGCATGTATTTTGTTTCGAAGTGAGAGCAAGGGTCACGCACGTTTTCCAACATTCATGGTTTATTCTGAGGTGCTGTGCAACATTAACTGGACGAAGTAAACTGCTCAACGAGTCTGTGGGCTCTATAGGCTCTAATTTTGAAAGCAGGCCACAGAACTAATTTGCCTGGACTTGGAAAAGTATATGGTACAGACTACCAGTCTGTATTTGTGCTCTCAATTTTGTAAATGTAAGTTTAGCTAACAGAATAAGAATAGAAATATGATGAATTAGTCTATTTTTCTCTTAAAAATAAAATTGCAAGTGAATAGGTATTTATTAGTCCAGTTGTTTTTTTTCAATTAAATATCATCTCTCTTTCTCTAGAGCATTATACTAATACCCATATTATCATCTAAACTATTCTTTGTTACATTTCGCTATTGGTTTGAAATATCTTGTCCTGTTGAAGAGTCTGCACCCAATTCGCACTGCATCGACTTTTAATTAAAATAAACTTTGTTTTTTTTAAGCCACCAGTGAAGACTACAAACTCTTGGAAAACATGAATAAGCTGACTAGTTTGAAGTACCTAGAAATGAAAGATATTGCTATAAACATCAGTAGAAATCTGAAGGATTTAAATAAAAAATGTAAGTAAACCAAATAAGGTAAGGGTGTAATAAATAGTACATTTGCTTGGGAAGTGAAGCATTTAAGAGTCAGTTCACACTCCATTAAGTGCTGAAGCAAAGAAAACACTGAAATAGACATACTGCTATACAGTGCCAATCTTGTATATTTTTTTACAGCTATAGACTACATAGACTAGTATAAGAGAAATTATATCTGATTTTACGTCCTGTTTTATTCCAAGTTTTGGATATGATAGGAAATAACACTTCTCTGATTCATGTTGTATTGTTACTTGTGTTGAGTCTAGCCAATACCCTTAAACTTTCCATACTTTCCTGGAAGAAGGCTGACTGTATCACTGCTTGATTTTGGGGCAGGGGAAGGAGGAAGCTTTTAAATTGTTCTGTCAGAAGAATGTAATAAGAAATTCTTGTGTTTCAAATGTGAAATGTTTCTTGAAAGTGAATTACTTGAGAAATGACAGAAATGATTTTTCTTCTTTTTCAAGATGCTGCTCTTCAGCCATATCTGGAACAGATCAACCTAATTGAGGAACAAGTTGCAGCTCTGGAGCAGGCAGCTTATAAATTGGATGCGTATTCCAAAAAACTTGGTAACTGTTGTCCTCTACTATTACTGTGTAGCAGCATAGTCTCTCGAAAGGGGGTTTAAAAAGACAAAGTAAACTCCTCTGTTTAATAAATCTTAGCTGCAGAGCTGACTGTGCTGCTTTTGAGCAACGAACATTGTATATGAAGTAGTAAGCCTTGGGAAAAGATTAATATAACAAGTTCTATGGAGGTGGACTAGTCGTAGGTATTACAGAACTACAGATTATTAGTGAGGCTTGTTTTCTCTTTTACAATATGCACTGACTGAAATTTTAAAGGCAGATGTTTAATCCTGCAAATAGAGGGATTCATAAAGTTCCACCAAGCACCCAAGTCCTCTTGGTTTAAATCAGTATTAGTTGTCTGACTTAAGAACCTTAAAAATTTTGTTGCATAATTATACTTGCCTAAATGGTTTAGTAATAAATCATCCTGAGTGATACTGTAATTTAACTTGAATTTTAAGATGTTTAACAGCTTACAGGATTCAAAGCTTTTGGTTATCCAGACCTGAATAATTGTTGTCTTTTCTTCTGCAGAAGCCAAGTACAAAAAACTGGAGAAACGGTGAAATTACAACAGTCTTTAAGTTGGAGTTGGGCTATGAGTCAGACTGATTTCTCTCTAAGTTACACAATAGCAATTCTGTATGTTGACAAGGATTTGGTTACAGCTAACATCAAAGCTGATAACTTTTTCTATCTATTGAATACAGTAAGCTGTATTCAGGCTTAAGGCTGAATAATATTTTCCTCTTCTCAAGAGGTTCTGTTGCCTTAGTTGTTCTGCAGTGAAAAGTAGAAGCCTGTTCCTAACCGCTATGTTGATACTGGCTGTGTGTTAGACTGTTTCATGTGGGACATAGGACTATCTAGGAAAAGCCCTTCATAACCTATAAAGACCTTATCCCTTAGTAACAGCAAGACCTAAACTTCATTTTTAAGTTCACTGAGCTCTGTGTTGAGAAGATACCTGGGCCTTTGGAGTTACGAGCATGGTATTGAGAACGCTTCATTTTGGTATCCACCTTTATCTGTTTAAAATAGAGAGACTAATTATTATAAATTTACAATAAAACAACTTGCTGCATTTGTCTCTCATGAATCACAAATTCCTGTTGGAAAGATTATGTAACGTGTCTTTCTTTTTTTTTTTTTTTTTTTTTCCAAAGGATCTGTTAATAAAGACAAACTCCTTCCAGCTACTGGAGATCATAGAAAAGAACATGTTTTAAACTCTGTGTCAAGTATTCCTGCAATTACATTCTTTTACTGTCGGGACCTCAGGTGAAGTGGCAAGGAGTATTGCTTTATCACATGCTCCTCTTACTTAGCAGATCTTTACTAATGAATTCTGATCCTAATAGTTTTTGAAGAGGCATGCCCAGCACAGAAAGCTTCTGAACCAGATTAGCAGTGCTCCACATTGCTAATTTAGAAGAGCCCTTCTTACTGAACAGTTATTTCAAGTGGACTTTTTTATCCATACCTACTACTTCAAGCTGTCTTTTGAGTGAGTTGCAGTGTAGGATAGTACAAATGCTGATATAGGAAAGAAGTAGTTCAAAGTTCCTACAGGATGTTGAGAAGAATGTCTATTCAGGTGCCACTGTGCAGATCATAATGCTGTCAGCCAGTATACAGCCACTGTAAATAGGCAAGATGGACACTTCCCTAGTGGTGCTTAAAAGCAGTGAAGCAAAGATGACCTTTGAGAGCCTTCACCATCACTTTTAAAATATTTAAAATAGAAAGTACTATTCTGTGTGGCCTTGATGTAGGAATTGAGAGAAGGTTGAGTTCACTTTGAAGAAAGGACTTTTTGGAGTAGGCATCTTTAAAGAACAGGATTGTCTCCCAGAGTTATCTACCCATTTGCATCTGTATTGCTTTTATCCATAGTTAACTCACAGATAATTTTTCTGCCTGTGGAAACAAATTAGTCATTAGTATTACCAAAGCAACATCCTCCAACCCAGCAGGAAAGGGTACCAATAGATGAGTTACTACTTCTGTGTTGGAGGCAATGATACCATGTAGAATGGCAGCCTGTTTTAAAATCTGAGAGATCATCATCTTTCTGAGGATTCATGCTGTGTTTGCAGTTCTGGACAAGAGGATCTAGCCAGCCAGATCTGAAAACTTCCTGCCCAGAAACTAGTTTGAATGATAGCCTGAACAGTAGCCTGATTGGTAATCTCTGATGCTGGAAAGTGGTACCACATGTTAGATAATGTAGAAGTCCTGTTTTTCCAGTGTTTCATGCATCTGTAGATAATACAAGAGCTAAATGTGACAAAGCCAAACTCACCAGTGTGTTTGATAGTATCATCCTTTCTCTTTGTGAGTGTGGAGGAGAATAACAGATGTTTGGCTGCTGATACAAAAGCTTGAGGGTGCTGCTCAGAGCTCTTCTGTTCCCTGAAAGAATGAGGTTTTTCATTATAGTATGTAGCACCTGCTTGTGGCTGGGAGCTTAGTCCCTGAATCCCTCTAAGTCCCTTTCTGGCCCCTACCTGCCTTTAAGAACAGAAAAGCTGCTGACTCGCATTAGGTTGGAAATGGTTCTGGAGCTGACTGGCCATTGGTTGTTCTAGGACAAGATCACTAATCTTGAAATCAGAGAAAGCCTAGGGAATCTTTGATTCCCAGCTGCTTCTGGGAAGATAGTGCTAGATACACATAGTGGATGCTGGCATACAAAGGAATTCTTCTGCACTGCAGGGATGCAGCTGGCCCCGCACTCTTGTCTACATAGAGATGCCCAGATGAAGGGGTGGCAGAGTTGTGTCCCAAGGAATTGCAATGGAGAGCTGGCCATCTGCTGTCTAGAGAACTGTGATCATCTCCATGTGATAAAAATATGAAGCCCTAAGTGCCAGTGACTTGTCCTGTCACATGGCAGCAGGCCAGTTAAGTTTGAATCACGGCATATAACCTGCAAATCAAGTATTGAACACAGAGTGGTATGTGGCCTGGACATCTCCATGCTCTAGTAGCAGTATACTGTCACTGCAGTTGAAAGTCCACTTCCTTATTGGGTGTGTGCTATATGCTCACTCCATGCTCTAGTGGCAGTATACTGCCACTGCCGTTGAAAGTCCACTTCCTTATTGGGTGTGTGCTATATGCTCAGACCCTCAATGAGACACAGACTCTACAGAGCCAAGCTGGGTATGGAACTGGGTGCATGGTAGTCCTGCTGTGTCTTAAGGTAAGTCCCAGTCAGCTTCCCTTTTACTTAACACCTACTGTCCACATTCTAGTTGGGATGCCAAAACTCAGTTCCATAGTAAGAAGGATTTGCTGTCACTGGGATCGTAACAGCAGCCTTGCTGTGTAAATTCCTGAAGCGGCCCAGAACAGCAGTCTGGCTCCCCTCTGTGTTAACAACTTTAGCACTTCCAGCTGACTTGGACCCAGTAGGACACCTTTTCATCTTGAGGCCATGGGGAGGCACATAATAGTGAAGGTGTTTCAGGGCTGCTTGTCTTTCTTAAAAAGAGGAAACAGTTATGTGCCTCACCCTTCTCAAGCATGGTTTAATATACCAAGCTCATCCTGTGGCAGCAAGACTTTACTTCCATAATGTGTGCCTGGGGCATGCTAGGTTGCCAAAGGCAATTATGGACATCACAGCAGTCCTGTAGGAAGCTTTCCTAACACAAAATTTAGATATGAGAATTGTAAGGGGCAAACAGAAAGGCAGAAAGGCAAAAGATAGGCTGGTGCTAGCTAAGCAAGAACATGTTCTCAGAGGCACTAGGGCTAGAGTTTTTTCCTCTGCTCAGGAATGAACTGGTAGTTTGTGATTAAGCAGATTGTGACTGTACAGAACACCACTGGAGAACATGCATACTAGCTGTAAGCCCTAATTACCACTTCTCAGGTCTGAAGGCAGAGGATCCTGTCAGTGTAATAACTAAAATTGGACTGATGCCTTCTAAGACAGCATCCATGCAGCTGTTGTTAACAGGTATTGTTCCTCACCCCTCAAGGCCAAGGGGATTCAGGAGACTGAGTGACTAAGTGGGTTGATAAATACAATCACATGAAGGTAAAACCATTATCTCTCTACTTGCCTCACCTGGAGAATGCTCAGTCTGCATGAAGCTCCTTGGCCTGCCCCATCCCACCTCTTCATAGTCAGAGGTACAGTGTGTGGTTTGTATGTTTATAACAAGCCAAAGAGCAGGCTCAAGAATAGGTGCCAATCCTGTTTGGATCTGGTTTTGTAGAACTGCTGGCTTAGCCATATGTTGTTTTAGTCATCTTCTTTGAGGAAGAGGTCCACTCACCACATACCACACAACATGCTGTTGGAAGGTCTAAGAATCTGTGTGATTGGGGCATAGAAAACGTCAGAATTTGGTATTTGTCTGCTCATTGTCTTTCTTTGCTAGGATTGCAGGAAGGCCACAGGAGGGCGATGTGTCAGCAGAGAAAACTGCTTCAAGAGAAAGCCATAAGGGCAGATTAAGGACGAAATCCTGCTCCTGTTCAAAAAGTTACTTTTCTGTGTGTAAGAAATACAGCGCTATTTCAAAACTACAAAGATGAAAACCTCCAGGAACTCTGAAGACGGGAATCCATCTAGCCATGCATTGCCATCAAGTGCTTAGTGTTTTCAGGTAAGAGAGCTAAGAAATAGCAAATTCCTGCATAAACTTTTGAGTATCCAACCTCCACGAAGGAGAAATGGGAATGAGAGCTTGTTCCACAAGTGACTATTTACTGGGAGGAAATTTTAGGTACTGAGTACTTGGCTGGTTGGAGGATTGTGTGACAGGGGCATCCCAATCAGGCTGAGAGCTTTCAGCTGTGTTCCCAGTTTTGTCTCTGAGTAAGTATTCCCCTCTCTGCCTGACAGCCCTCTATGTCACTGGTAGAATCCAAATCACAGCAAGGATGGCACGTCCTTTGGATAGCAGCACCACAGAAGAGACATAAGTAGGTGTGTGTGAACAGCATTATATTGAGGAAATATGTAGTCCAAAAGCAGAAGCACAACTTGGTTACTGCTTGGACATTTCACCTGGAGAATCCATGAGAAGTTTCAGAGGAGGTAGAGAGGTATAGGAGGAGGCTAAATCTCTATCATTTCTCTTCTGCAGCATTTTCTGGTGGAAAATACAATAAGAAAGTAGCATGTGCTTGAAGGGAAGAACAAGGGAAAGAATAGAGGAAAGGGAGGGCTGACAGATGAGAATTAAGGGGCAAGGTATCTCATCAAGTGATCTATGCAACTGCTTTTGAGCTGAAGCAGTTCTTGAGGACTTGGCCTGCAGCTGCAAACCAGGGGTAAAAATCTTCTGGTTCAATTCCAGAAGAGGATTTTCTCCCCAGTACCTCAGGACAGTTCTGCCCAGCTGCTTTAACAGGTCATTCTGAAGTCATCCACCTTTCAGAACAGTACTTTGTGGAGATGCCCACAGTCTGCAGAAAGGGCTTTTAAATCACTAGTAGAAACTGCGACATGTCCAACAGCTGAAAAACAGCTCTTCTAGAACGGAGTATACTTTTTAACCTGGAACTCTTTGTGTTCAATAGAAATGTTAAAAGATACCCAATGGGATGATAATCACAAGTGTATATAATGGCCTGAAGATAAATACATTATTGTATGTGTAGCATCCCATCAGAGGACAAACGTACAAACACAATGTAAGTAATAAGTGGAAGACAAGCATAAATGCAAGGTTTATTAAAGATTAATGTTTGTTCTTTCTTTCTGGTACTGCGGTAGACAAGGTTGACCTTAGAAAAGATAACAAAGAGTTAAAAATGAAGCAGTTCATCCAAGTTTGTTGGCAGCAAGTGATTTTTTTCTAACCAGTATGTTTTTACTGTAGACTTCATAAAGTAAGCCTTCCAGGATGCAACTTTAGCCCTTCCTGATCCCACATCCCTGTTCTGCGTTGCAATGGAACCCCTGGGAGCCACAGTCATTTTCTTGCTGGTTTGCATTGTCCGCCACCTTGTCTGTTCAGAGGTGTCTGAAACAGGGAAGCTACCTCCTGGGCCATTTCCTTTGCCCCTCATGGGAAACATGCTGCAGCATGAAGCAAGGGGATATAACTTAAAAGCTGG